ATAGACCTACATAGACATTTCTCAAAAAAAGACACAAACAGCCAACAGGTATAATAGGGCTCAACATCATTAATCACAAGAGAAATGCAATTCAAAACCAAAATGAGATATTGCCTCATGACAGTTAAAATAGCTGTTATGAAAAAGCCTAAAAATAACAAATGATGATGAAGATGAGGAGAAAAGGAAACTCTTAACACACTGTTGATGGGAGTGTAAATTAGAACAGCCATTACAGAAAACAGTATGGAGGTTTTTAAAAAAACTGAAAATATGACTCCCTTGTGACTCAGCAATCTCACTACTGGCTGCATATCCAAAGAAAATTAAATCAGGGGCTGGGGATTTAGCTCAGTGGTTCTGCCGCCTGCCTCGCAAGCACAAGGACCTGAGTTCGATCCCTGGTACCCCTCCCCCCCCAAAAAAAAAGAAAAAGAAAATTAAATCAATATGTCAAAAAAGACATCTGGACTCCCGTGTTCATTGCAACAGTATTCACAATAGTCAAGAAATAGAAGCAGCATCAGTGTCCATCAGCTGATTAATGGATAAAGAAAATATACATATGCACACTAGAATACTATTCAGCCATAAAAAGAATGAAATCTTTTTGGAGTGGAGGTTGAGACAGTCTCAGTAGGTAGTTCAGGCTGGCCTTGAACTCACTATGTTGCCTAGGTTGGCCTTGAACACCCAGCAATCCTCCTGCCTCAGCCTCCCAAATGCTGGGATTACAGGTGTGTATCACCATACCTGACAGTGGAAAAAATGAAATCTTGTCCTTTGCCACAATATGGATAGAACTGGAGATCATTATGTTAAGTGAAAATAACCCAGGCATTGAAAGACAGGTAGTAACCATATGATTTCACTCTTTTGTGGAACTAAAAAAAAATGGATCGCCGGGGATTTAGCTCAGTGGTTTCCCTGCCTCCTTCGCAAGCACAAGGACCCGAGTTCAATCCCCGGTACCAAAAAAAAAAAAAAAATTGATCTCATAGAAATTTAGAGTAAAATGGTAGTTGCCAGAGGCTGGAGAGCAGAGGGAGGTGGGAGGGATGGAAAAGTTAATGAGCACTAAGTTACAGGAGGAGAAAGTAGTGCTGGTATGCTGTTGTAGATAATAATTACATTTTAAAACACTAGAAGAAAGCTTTTACCATAAAGAAATGATAAATCTTTGAGGAGATAGATATGTTTAACCTGATTTAAATGTTACACATTCTATCCATGTATCAAAGCATTACATTATCCCATTAATATATACAATTTTTAGTTTTTATGTACTAGTGGTTTTTTTTCTAAAGCAAAAGATGAAACTGTCTAAATTTGGCTATCAGGAGGGCAGCTCAAAGTACCTTCTTTCCCAGAGATGTAAATTGGTTAGCTAACCAAACAAATCTTTTTAAACTTCCAGGAAGTTCTTTTCAGTTCCCACACCAATATTTCTACTAAGTCTCAGGAGCTACAAGAATATACTAAGAGCCTGGCCAGGGAACACCTTTCTCTTAAAACTGGCAGAAAGTGAGACAGAAGCAAAGAGGTCCCTGGCAAAAGCACTAATTCTTCCTTGTCCTAAATAATGATTATCTGATAGTATTATCTTAATTTTTCAGAGTAACTATTCTGAAAATATCACTTTATCTGATCACCTTTTGAGTTACTTTTTGCAAATGCAAAGACCCCCTGGAAGCACAAGAAAAACACTCATTTAAAGAACCTCCCTCTTTCACCTTTACTTCATGGTGGGCTATGGTAGGGAAACTGATGCCATAGTTTGAATCCTTTCAATAAGCTGTTTTATTAATTTTTTAAATGATTTCTTGTTCACTGGTGATAAGTGACAGTTGTTAAGGCTAGAGAGCTTTTTGCCCTGGGTTGCTAGGACAAAGAAACTGACTGCTATCACAAAGCAGAGACTGCTTTTCTTCTGTTCTCACAGAGTCTGCTTTAACAGTCCTAAAGTAGGGTACAGTAAGTTCAGTTTGTTTACAAATTTCTAATTTATGGCGATAAAGTGTTTTAGTTTTTGCCTATTTTCACCACCATGAAGATAAGTATTTCCTCAGTCCTCTTTCCTACTCTTTTCCCTGTTCTATACAGCCCCTTCTATAGTCTTTCACAGTCCCAATCTAATGGCAAATCTGCCATCTTTAACATACTGCTTCCAAGGGTACTTGTTTGATGTCATCAGCTGGCAACTGGAGGAAGAGAGACACAGTGGAGGATCAGATCTTTTTCTGGGCCAGATCTAAAGTGATGAATATAATTTCTGCTAATATTTCATTAGTTAGAATGCAAGGTCTCTACTAAGAACTACTTTTGATTATAGAAGAGGAGGACAATCTTTTTTAGGCAAGTGGTCATCTCTACCCCATAATTCTTATCTCACTAGGTCTCTCAAAGTGACTCCCCACATTTACCTCTATAATATAAAAACATTTCATAGCAGTATATATTATTTTAGCCCAAATTATAGGATAGATAAAATAGGATTTATAGTATGAACAATTCCCTGCCACTTGGCTGTAGCCATGCCACTTTATCACATCACACAGACCATCAAAGCAACTACAGTATTGTTTTTCTGAAACAATAAAGTGTTGTCTGTTGAATTTGTCACCATAAGAGTTAATTAAATAGGTGGGTGTGATGGCGCATGCCTGTGATCCCAGCACTTGGGAGGCTGAGGCAGGAGTATCGCTGCAAGTTCGAGGCCAACCTGGGCTACATAGTGAGTTCAGGGCCAGCCAGAACTACAAAGGGAGACCCTGCCTCAAAAAATAAATAAATAAATAAATAAATAAATACCCAATTAATGAAATAGATGTGATTATGCCATTAGTGACTGATTAGAATGATGAAGAAACATATATGCTAGAAATATTTGAGTCTGTTAGCATGTGTCAGCACTATAAATCAAAACATTGTAAAGACTAGTTCCCTCCCCAGGGTTCTAAATAAAAATCTGTTAGAAAAACAGACATAGTGTCATTTCTTAGAGACCAGTTAGCTCAGTCCTTAGCCCTACTCTCTCTGCCTGAAGTTACACTACCAAGTTTTTCTGTACTAACCAACAATGAATGGGATTCATATTCCAGTAATTCTCCTTGCTCTCTAGATTTCTCTTTTGGCCACAAAGGTAGTGGGTAGGACCTGAATGGGAAAGATTAGGGTAAAGATAGAGTATCATATTTCACCCTGTTACACACATTAAGGATTAAAGTTCTGTTTGAGTACCCAGTCATCTTCCTATATGTTTAAAGTCACTTATCGTTAGTGATCATTCCTTTAGAATAGCACAGCCAGTAAAAGAGTAGCACAGCCAGTTACTACGGAGGATACAAAAGAAGTATAAAATCTTTCACTTAGTATGACTCACTTCATCCTTACCACAGTCCCTATCTTATAGAGTGATTAAATAACTTGTCCTTGGTTATAAAGCTTAAAAGTGGCATAACTTGGATTTGAACAGAGGTCTGCTTGACTTTGTTTCAGAGATAAAAAGACGCCTCTGAATACAGTCAGGGAAATTTGTAGAACTAAATCACAAGATGATCTCATTGTATGAACTATGGAAATAAGTGTTCTATCCTCACTACTTCCTCCAACCAATGGCTTTTATAGCCTATTTGAACCCATGTTAAAGTCAATTTGATTACCATCATATTTACTTACTGTGGGAAACCATAGTTGTGTTCAGTCATGCCTAAAATAACATCACATTTAGTAAAGCTCACTCTGCTTTACCTCTTAGCTACTTTTCCCCAAAATCCTAGTAAAAATGTCAAAAATAATGATTGCTATTTTAATTAGGTTAAGAACTCAAGAGTTTATACTATTAACAAATTAATATATTGTTCTTTACATTGGTGGATTTTTTTCACATTGCACCCAGTATGAGGAATATTTACTCCTATGCTTACAGTATAGTGTTTTGTGAGAATCTAAAACTTATTAAAGTATTTTTAAAACTGTAAGATACTTTATAAGTAAAAGATGGTATTATTGACCTGGGGACATAGCTCACTGGTGCTGCGCCTGCCCACAAGCACAGGGTCCTGAGTTTGATTCCCAGTACTGGTGGGGGTCAGGGAGATACTATTATTTATTTCATTCTGCACATGCTCCTGTTACTTAGGAATACATTGTGAAAAAAACATGGGTTTTATCCTCAATAGAGTCTAGTAGGAAGACCGACATGAGGACAGTATGTCCTGCACATGTGCTGTCATGAAGATGTGTACAAGGTACAACAGAAACCTAAAAAAGAACCCCTGAGTCTACCTTAGGAACCCAGGAAAACTTCACAAAAGACATAGTGTGAACTGGGGCTTGAAGAATGAGAAATAATTTTCCCAATGAACTAAACAAGAAAGAAAATTACAGGTGAAGGAAAACCATGTTTGAAACTTTGCAAATAATTGATTGAATATAATATTGAAAGTACAAAGTGAGGTGGTAAAGGGAGACAAATAGGCAAAGGACAAATATGGAGAACCTTGAAATACCATGCTAATTTTTTGCCCAACTGAACATTTATTTCCTAGTCAGGCATAAGTTTCTTACCTTAATCCTACTAGGTTTGGATTCTTATTCATGGCCTAAAGCATAGGTAGTAGATTAGAGGCTTGTATTCAGGAGTCCTACTCATTATTGTACAGCCATGGATGAGTCACTTAAAGTACCAATTCTTATACCAAGAAGCCTACAATAATTTTACTGTTAATAACTGGATAGAATTTTGAGACCTTGAAAATAGGACACTTTATAAATGCTTCTCATTATCATCTAACTTCTCTGTGCTCTACTAAAACAGCCTACCAACTAAACTGAGCTTTCAATGGAATAATACTCATTATTTGCCCAGCAGCAAATACCCTTCCTCAAAAAATTGGTCAAATGAGTTTTGTTGGAGATATTGCTAGGCCTGAACAGTACCCCACTCAAAGCAGAACTGAGGCATTACAATTCTAAAATGAGTCTATTTTTCTTTGCAGGAGTGGTCACACATTACTTGCCTTTTGGTTTTCCCGCCAAGAGGGAAAACTAAACCGACAGCAGACTATTGAACTGGGACATCATATCCTCAAAGCACACATCTTTAAGGTAAAGAAATGGGGAGACTTTTTTCTTTCTGTCTCTAGCAAATTTTCCTTACCACTGTGTATGTGAAATGAAACTACTGTTCTTGCAATGTAGCCCCTGCTTGCTGAAATTATTTTGCTATAAAGTTAGTCCATCTCCTAAAGTATATAACCTGTTTTCCCTTAGTCTTTAGAAAGAGAACTATCCCTGTCTTAGAGAGGTTAAATAGTAGTGACAGTCACATTGGCTATTTCCCAGTTTAGTGGATTGCTAGGTTTTCCAGGAAATGTGTGTGCATAATCACCTAAGTGAGGACCATATACACATGCATATGTATGTTTTGTATGTAACCTGTCATCTCCTGAGGACAGTTATGTTGTCACACTTAGTTGCATGTTTTCAGTGTCCAAAAACAAAAATCAATGAGAGTAAGGTAGTCTTTCAATATTCTTACAATTGTTTTAGTGAAGATCTTAATATTCCTATTGCTTATGATTTTTTAAACTGTTTACCTGGAATGAATGCTAATTTTCCTTGGAGCTACTTCCCCAGTGTCTCTCAAATTATAATCTCAGTTTTCCTCCAAGCCATTTCAAAATTTTAAAAAACTCTGAAGTGGCTTCCTCTCTCAACATTTATAATATTGGTCTAGTGCACCCAGAGGATGACACATAATTAATTTTTTTTGTGCATGTATACATTCATTAATTTATTCAGTACTTATGGAAGCACTGTACTAGGCAGTGGGAATATAAAAGTTAAAAACATAATCCCTAATCTAAAGGTATTTATATTTCAGGTAACAGTTTTAACACATAAAAGCAGAGAAGGAAATTTGTTGTACTGACTTTTCTAGCCCACAATTTGCTATTACTGCATCTTGATAGTTCCATCCCTACAGTCTTTTCAGAGTTCTTTCCCTGCCTCCAGATTGAGAAATACAAGTATCTTAAGCAGTTCGCTGGGTCAGACTTCCCCCAAGAGATGTTGTAAAGATAAAACAGTTGTCCTCGGAGAGAAAGATGGCATTAAGGGCAATCCAAGAGCCTAGCAAATTCTTCCCAGTATGTAAGCACACAGCCGGAGAAGCCTATTCATTTGATGGACAAAAGTGACACCGACAGTGACAGGTGCTTTAGTTGAACCAAAATTGTCTTGTTCAACAAATCACAGTACAAAATATGACCTTACAGGGTGGGGAATTTAGCTCAGTGGTTCCGGCGCCTGCCTTGCAAGAGCAAGGTCCCGAGTTCAATCCCCAGTACCAAAAATATATATATATATGACCTTACAAACTGACCTTACTCAGAGCAGTGGAACTAAAATAACAGACAAGGTTTCCCATTCCAGTTTCAAGTGTGCTGAAAAATGCCTACTACTTCCATAAATTCTAAGATTATTATCTTTCAGATAGATGGTAAAATAACTTAAGTATTAATCTCTTAGCATCACCATCTGCCTAGGCTCAGATGCAAAGATGAAGTTGATGCCTGCCTTTGTGCACCATAAAATAAACACCACATAACAGAGAAATAACATGAAGCTTGATTTGACCAAGCATGACTTTATCAAGAACATAAAGACCTATGTTTAAATCATATAAGACTGACTCTGTGTACAATTAGGGCCATAAATACTCCTTCATACAATGGTGATATGACTGCAAGCAGATGAATGAAGGCTTAGACTATGGCTTTCTTGGTTATGAAGTTTACAAGATCCCTTAAATTCAGGGTGCTCTCTTTGATAGGCTTTAGCTTCTCCCAGGCTCCTAGAATTCTTAGTCCCCATCAGCTAAGGATCATGAAAAGCAAAGACAAAGGGCTGGGGAATATAGCTTAGTTATAGAGCACTTGGTCGCACAGAACACGCCGAATCAGCCTGCTGCAGACAGGCAGGTCTGTGCACGTCCTACCGAGGTCCTGAGTCGCGCGGAAGACGCCTAATCACCCCGCTGCAGACAGGCAGGTCTGCCCATGCCCTACC